CTCCCTGACATGTTGCTTCAACACTAACTGCGGTTACTGACACCATGCCTTCTTTCTTTGCGTGCACATTTGCGGCGGGATTATGCAAATATTTCCACATAGTGGGGTAGATATGTGGGGGCGTGTTAGAATGAGCCGTTTTAGGGGGGCGTGGCAGAGTCTTAACTTTGATAAAGAATATCTCTTTGGTTTTGAGACTTTAGTCTTTGCAACTTCAGGGATCTTATCTATGCACAATCAGCTTGTAACACTCCAAAGAGAAAGGAAAACTTGAAATCGCATCATATGACCCCTTTCAATTAATAAAAAATAGTCTGGCCAATCCGAGGCCCCTGCACACGTGGGGCCCCTAGGCTGCAGCCTAGGCAAGCCTGTGCGTTAATCCGCGCCTGCTCGTCATTCTCAAGCATATAAATTCGGATACTGGCGTGTGCTCTTTTATATGGTAATGCTATTAATTAGGGGGCGTTTACAAGGCGGAGATCTGACACCAGTCAGCTGGGCACAATTTCAAGATCATTTGCGATTTATAAATAGTGCGTTCGACTTCATGCAGCACTGCACAGATCGATCTGCGGCTGACTTGAAGCAGTGCATGCTGGTTAGAAATTTTGTCCGACTTGAACCGGCACGTACCGCGATAGCGTTTCGAGAGCAGCCGGCTGACTCAGTATGGAACGCCAAACGGGTCGCAATTCGCCATTAATCAGACGCCTGGTGTGCAGAAAACGCCGTATTTTACGGCGTTTTAGACTAAAAAAACGTCGTAAAATACGGCGTTTTGTGGTACAGATGGCGTAAATTACGGCGTTTTCACAGCAGAACCGCCGTTAATGTCGGCGTTTATTGATGCAATTCAAAACGCCGTTAATTTCGCCGTTTGGCTATCCATAATACGCCGTAGTTTATGGCGCTCCGTTTGACAAAGACGGCGTAAAAAACGACGTTTTCTGTAATATTAAAATCAGCCCCTCCTTTTCTACACAGTCCAGCCCCTTTGATGCAGTAGGCAGTCAGACACGAGTAGTCAAATGTCGATCTGAATGGCGATCTACTTCAAGGGTCCTGTTTTTTAAGGTTATGTGACCAACATTTGGACTTTCATCGTGTGATATTTTTACTTTTTCATTGGGTACACGTGTATCTTCGTCTTCTTTATCATATGTACACAAATTGTGCAATTTTATTATCCTTTGTGTAAGTTGACGTGTGTCAAATGTAGTGAGCATACGCTTGTGAGTATCGGTTTCTGTAGTGCTGTGGTCTGCGTTCATTGCGACCGTGCAGTGTTGCTTTAGTGACAGGAGTTCGAGTCTGAGGTCCGATGTTCTTTTCTCTCCTTTTCGTTTGTTGTGTATTTGAATTTTCAATTTTGGAGAAACTGCCCTTTCTGCAAATAACAGGAATAACAGGAAAATGTATTATTCAACAGCGTGTGCGAATAAGCTGAACTAAGCCGTGGCGTCGGTTTTTATTGTTGATTAAATTTGATTTCCCATGTGAAAGCGCTTGTTTTGCTCGTTTAGGTATAGGCTTGCTTGCACTATGCCTTGAGTACAATATGGGTACGTTTCTGTTGAATAAAAAATGTCAAAATGCTGGCCTTTTTCTATGGTGAGCACTGCTGCCACTATTTATAATTTCCACTCAATTATGTCGTAATAATTGTCTTTACTATACAGGTTAGATGTGATCCACCTCATAGTAACAATCCTGTCAGATCGTCCATCCTTTGAGTGAGAGTGTAACGTTACAGGTCGGCCGATCTGGTTTCATGGTTAAAGTTAACCTTTTCGACATGTTTCCCTGTCGTCGTTGCTCAGCAATAGCATGGACATGATGCTGTCTGGGGGTTTGGCTAAAGGAGAGTGGGACGGTGGGCGGTGCTCGGGGTGGTGACTGAAGGCGGTGACTGTGTAGTTCTGACATCAACTTTTTACGGAAGTCACAACGGTTCGTGAAAAATCACAGCTACTTTAAGCAGGCTGTGTGCATTTTACTGTGGACTGACTGTTTTGAAACTTATATGGTAGTTACATAGCACCTAGACCTCAGTTATCATGAAAAATTTCAGTTTTGACAATATGGGACCTTTAAAACGACATAACTTTCTCGTTTAAACGACATCTTTTATCGTTAAAACGATATATTTTCTCGTAATAACAACATATTGTCATAAAATCTATATGTTTTTCCTGTTATAGAACATATATGGTTACATGTGACGTGAGCGAGCTATAAGCTCTTGTCTGCTGCTGTCACCACAGTCCTGAGATAAATGAGGATCTGCACGCTGTTACTGCAGGAGGGATCATAGACACTGTTTTAAATGTATTTTAATGTCATGACTTTTATTGTAGTGGCATGTTTATTAGGATTAATCTCCAATCTGTCAAAAGAACCAAAGACTTAAACTACTTCAGTCTGTGTGCATTGAATTTATTTAATACACGAGTTTCACAATTTGAGTTGAATTACTGAAATAAATGAACTTTTCCAGACATTCTAATTTATTGAGATGCACCTGTATATGCTATCCAATAACTGCACTCAGACCCAGAGAATCTGACTAGTTTAAGATGATCAGATCAAAACAGTTATTTCGAACCGACTCTGGGCTTGGAATATTTCTTTGTTTGAATGAGTCAAGTTTGATTTAACACCAAATCGGAATAAGAACAAAAAGAAATAAAGAGAAATGACAACGCGGTTTGTATTGTTATTATTAGCCTATTATTATTATTATTATTATTTGGTTTTGTCCGAGAAACGGATAAACGAAAATTAAGCTATAGTATTTTTTTTTTATTTGTGAATAAAATTTAAAAAAGCTTATGCTATTGTGCGTGGGCGGCCCTGAAACGACACTTTTCAAGCCTATGTCTGTCCCATCACGCAGGATAAGAGTTCATCTGATGTGCCGCTCAGCAAGTTAGTTTCAATAACGTTTCTTCATGTTTGGCTGCTGCATAGGCTCTTGCAAATATAGGCTAGCCTATATTTCATGTAACAATACAATATGTATTGTTACATGAATAATAAACAACTGATAAAATTATCCACCCCTAACCTAAAGAATTAACAAATTTTGATGCAATAAATATGGCATAATTTACCAATGTTCATCCCTCTAAAACAAAAAAAAGTGTTTATAATGAGCTGTATTTGTAGGGGTTATTAGTACAATTCTTAACCCCACCCAGATCTCATAATTTTCAAAGCCTGGCTACGGCCATGGTCGAAATATGTTCTTTAAAAAAACATACTTTAACCGACCAAAAACGCCGTCAGTTGCGGCGTTCATTATCCCTTAAACGGCGTAACTACAGAAAACGCCGTCAATTGCGGCGTTTTAAACATTAGAGACGCCGTCGATTGCGCCGCTCTTTACCACCTAAAACGCCGTCAATTGCGGCGTTTTAAACATTAGAGACGCCGTCGATTGCGCCGCTCTTTACCACCTAAAACGCCGTCAATTGCGGCGTTTTAAACATTAGAGACGCCGTCGATTGCGCCGCTCTTTACCACCTAAAACGCCGTCAATTGCGGCGTTTTAAACATTAGAGACGCCGTCAATTGCGCCGCTTTTCAGCACCCAAAATACCATCAGCTCCGCGATTGTTAGGCCTACTTATTAAAATAATTAAAGTAGTTTGTGCATTAGTAGTGAAAGTTGATTGGTTTTGGATTATTAGGCCTATTATTAGGCCTTACATTTCTGGAGAGGTGCAGGTCAGGCTGCGCCGTAGGCTACGCGTGCTACGCACAACCTTCGACGTAACTACAGCTAAGTTTAGTTTCGACGCAGAAGTATAAATCAGCCTAAAAAAAAAGAAGTATAAATCAGCCTTATGTGTGAAACAGGCATCATATTAATGTACTTTTGTGCTATAACAGTGCGCTCTCGACATTTGTCAGTAAAATAATGCCATAGATTGTTGCTATGTTATTGACATACTGCGTGTCATATGATTCACATGAGACTCAAATACAAAACTAGAAGTAGCCTAATACTGGCATATTTTATGCGGTCACACTACAGACTTCCTGATTAGATTTGATTTCATGAGTTATAAATACTCTTCAGTCAAAGTGAAAGTAAAAATGAAAATGTTTGAATGGCTGTTTATGTTTTATTTTATTCATTTTAACTTGTTGTCTATGCTTGTTTGTGAATTATGTTTTTAAAGCCAAGTAACAAGTCAGGGCAAGTTTGCTTCATTCTGTGGTGGTTGTGAAACGCCCTACACAGGACAAGCCTGCATATGTAAATGTTAACATTAACTTTATGCACAAAACATATTTTAATGATAACTGTGAAACTTGCCTTTGATCAAGTTTATTCCAAATATAAAATTAAAGTGGGAAATCAACAGCAATGTATGTTTCTCCACTAAAATGTTTTAAAGGCTATGGAAAGGGGAATGCATGCAAATTTGTTGGGAACAGGTAAATATTCATGCCCTGGTTATTTTGTCTTGTGATAAAGCACTTAAAACCTTATGTATATCTGGTGTTATGTATATGAATCTTTGTTTTCTACATAAACTGGGCATTCTGGGCTTAGGGTGTGGTATCATTTGTTTAAGAAAATTAATTAAGAAATGATCTTTAAATCAGTACTATTTCTTTTTACGTTGGTGTAACACTGAATACTGTCATTTTGTCATTTCAGCTCTTTCCAGAATGCAAATTGTTTCAAGAAGAGACTTGCCATCTGTGAAACTTAAACCTAAACCTAGAAGTTGAATCTCTGTCTCCGGTAATCTGCAGTCTTTTGCAAGAAACCCAATAAGTTTAGAAAACCCTTTGGGTTTAAGGATTTTCTTTATTCCTTACTATTTGTGGAATGTTCTAACAAAGAATCCAAAGACTCCATAAGCTGTACCTGATGAGGAAATCTAAAGTGCTACCAGACTTTGACTGAAAATCCAATACTTCATCTAATGTGTTGAAGAAACCATATAGGAACTTATGAAGTCTGATGAAGAAACGTTTGGCTGCACTTTTAACTGGACCAAACAAACCTGCACTTTACTTTATATGAGCATGATTACGTTAAGACTTATCTTGTCCATTGCTGCTGTTGTCGCTTTGAACTTCAAACTGTGTTTCAGTGTGTGTGCTCGTGCTGAATATGAGGTAAATGGAGAATGCTGCCCCATGTGTGCACCAGGTACAGTATACATTGTGTAATGCTGGGTTTTGCCTGGCAACTGACTGATTTAGTGACAAAGCTTAAATACTTTTAAGCTTTTATTAAGCAAATAATATTATGTTTAAGAAGTTATCAATTCACAATTTCAATTTTCCAGTGTACTACAGACCAGCTCTTAGACCAGCTCATAATTTTTGCTTGTCTGTAACCATGTGCCTGTATGTGAAAAAAGTGAGGTCATATGCTTATTTGAGAATGCAGTGATAATAATTAATTCAGTCATATGATAAAAATGTGACATTATTTAGTAGTTTACTAGTGTGGCTTATAAGATATCCCATGTTGTTCATTTGAATATTTCATGCTTCCATTAAGTATTTATTTATTTATTTTTACATTTGTAGGAAATCATGTTTATTGGCATTGTACTATAGATACCAGCACCACTTGTGTTCCATGTCCTGCATTAACATATATCGATGAGCCCAATGGATTAGATAAGTGCTTTCCCTGCACTTTGTGTGATGCGGGTGAGTATGTACTCCAAAAAAAAAAGACTTAAAAAAAACTTAAAGAAGTACTTTCTAGTACATTATTTGTATGTATATATATATATAAAGGATTTATGTTTTTTACAGGACAAGGGCTAAGGGTAAAGAGAAACTGTATACGTTCTGCAGATACTGTTTGTGAGCCACTAGATGGATTCTATTGCACTGAGCGAAATGAAGACAGCTGTAGATTTGCCATGAAACACACTGGACATCACCAGACTCTGTGACTCCTCTAATATTAATTAGTAAAAGCCATGTGATGGACTGGCCATCTGGACAGATGGCCAATCCATCACAGGGCTTTAATGATTAATATATCATCTTGAGACACTTCAGCATCCTCTATGGATGGATGGAACAGGTAGTTCTTCCTTTTCACTTATATTTTAGGTCCTAAAACTGTTCCCATCTTGCAGTGGCGGCTCCAGGATTTTTTTGCTGGGGGGTAGATTTGCCATGAAACACACTGAATGTAGCCCTGGACAATATATCAAACAAGCAGGTAGGTGTAACTGTTTTTTACCAAGCAGAAAATCTTAAACAATGGCCATAAATTGGAAAGACATCTAGACAAATTTATTACAAAAACAACTGGCTTTATTAACTAGCTTTATTAAAAATGTTTACTCAGTCACAAGAACGATGCCAGTAATACTTATAGAATCTCATTAGGAAGGCAATTATCTTAATATCCTTACAGGAACAGCATTAACTGATACTGTATGCAGTGACTGTTCAGAAGGTTCTTACTCAAATGGTTCTTTCACTACTTGTCAACTGCATTCAAAGTGAGTGACTATCATAGAGTAACACATGTTAAATAAAAACTATTATAATATGTCTGGACATGCTAACATTGCTCACATTTACAGATGTGAGACAGAGGGACTTAGAGAAGTAAAACCCGGAACAGTGTCATCTGATGCTGAATGTGGGAATTCAACTCCAGTTGGTGTCATTGCTGGGACAGCTGGTGTTGTTGTCTTAGTGACTGCTGTTGGGATTTCATTAATTTATTTAAAGTTAAAACATAAAAAAACACAAACCCCCACAACAGGTAATACTTTAATCATAATAATAAAAGTAATAATAATCAAATATAATTTTAGCATGCTGTGCAACTTTTAACACTTTTTTTATGTTTTAGATAATTACCCACTATCAGTACAGGAGAGTGCCTCTATGCGTAGTCAGTGTGACAGTGAACCAGTAAGTAAATAATTAAGCTGTCAATTAAACAATTTATTTTACAAAACAAACAACGTTTTAGTGGGTCATATCATGAAGAATCTAATTTTATTTGATTTAATGAGATAAGAGTTCAGTGCACTTTTAATTTTATTTATGTTGGCTTGAGTAAGCCAACATACTGATATTCTATTTAAACATTACAATTTAAAATTGAAAACTTTTAAATTCTTCTTCATCTGAGACTGTAACGCCTCCTACTACTCCTACTAAAGTTATAACTTAAGTTACTTAAATCTTAAAGCCATCAGCCTTCTAGCTAATAAATCTACTTCAAACTTTCTAGACAGGTTAAAAACGTAAACTTTTTTGTTTTATCTAGTCCAATTTTTTTTCTTTTTTCTTTTGTGTTCAGAAACTTGATCCGCCCAGTCACAGTGACATAAGAATGAAGAACAATAAACTATTAATTCTAAATACTAGAGGAACTAATGAGAGTAAAAACTATATTTGCAAACCCTGTGCTGTGCCTGAGTGTGTGTAAACCATTCCAAAATCCCACCTTGTGTTTTTTTATATACAGCAGCTTCGAAAAAGGCATATGCCAACTGCCAAATATGACACTTACAAATTAATACATATGAATACAATTATGAACGCACAGTGTTACGTGCCCCTTTACCAGTCTAAGGATCAAAAGAGGTGTAACGAAAAATAGCGGGGAGAGGCTGAGAGAACTGCTGTCTCCAAGTCCCAGGGCAGGTACACAGAAATGCTCAGCAACACCAGTTTCAAATTTAAAGTAAAGTATTTTACTGAACAGAATGTGGGAAATTTCATAGTCCACGGTGGAGTCGACGGCGGGAGGAACCATGATGGAGAGACTAGAGTTCCGACCGACGGAGACGGAACCGAGGAAAGGGGAACCCAAGGCGGAGGTGGAGCGCCGTAGAGCCGGGGTGACACGGAGTGTTCGGAGGGCTGTGATGGAGCCGACGGCTCTGGCAACCGAGGCGCAGGCGAGGATCCGGAAGGCCATGGTGGAGTCGGAGCGACCGAGAACCAAGGTGGAGCCGGAGGGAGAGAGGAGCCCAACGGAGCTGGA